AATAAATGTTAAACAATGACAATATCTGAATCAGGTAAATTATGAAAACTTGCACAATCAGCTTCATGTTAGATAAATCTATACAAAAAGGCACCAAAAAGCCTTGATCTCAATTTTCAATAAATGTTAAACAATGACAATATCTGAATCAGGTAAATTATGAAAACTTGCACAATCAGCTTCATGTTAGATAAATCTATACAAAAAGGCACCAAAAAGCCTTGATCTCAATTTTCCTCCCCTAGGTAAGTTTTAATTTGGGTTAATAGCACACTGGCCCCTTGTAAAATAAATGTTAAACAATGACAATATCTGAATCAGGTAAATTATGAAAACTTGCACAATCAGCTTCATGTTAGATAAATCTATACAAAAAGGCACCAAAAAGCCTTGATCTCAATTTTCCTCCCCTAGGTAAGTTTTAATTTGGGTTAATAGCACACTGGCCCCTTGTAATCCCTTCATTTTGAACCTAGGACTTAAATAGGTTCATTGCTGCAGATAGACCTCCTGGGTTAAACTTTTTGACTATTTTACCGTGGGTGCAATCTTGGTGGATATTGCCCCTAGGTGAAATTAGTGAATATATCTAAGGGTAAAAGAGTTCAAAAAATTAATGTAGGCTCTATCTGTAACAATGAAACTATAGAAGTTGGAAAATCAAAACAGCAATACTACAGGTGTAACCAACCCTCCCTATTTCCAGACTTGCCTACAATCTAAACTACAGGTGTAACCAACCCTCCCTATTTCCAGACTTGCCTACAATCTATGTATCAGTCCTACAATAATCAACCTTCTTCGTTATCATAGTCCTCTTCCTCCTCATCTACTCTATCATTCAACAAAGAAAGCTTAAGAGGGTCTATGACCATCTTATTTATATCAGACATCGGCAATCCTTCAAATTCTTCATGCTTCGGTTCATGATGTTCTCCAGATGCATCTTCACTCTTATTCAACTCCAAATTCAAGTCAAAGTTTCGAACAGGGGGTTTACTATCACCAACTATAGTGTTCTTGTTCTCGTCTGGTGATTTTAAATCTTCAGGTTTGTTGTCGTCGTCATGTTGTGGAGAAGTTCCTGGGTCATCTTCGAACTTGTCATATCGAGTACTCTCAACTCTACGGCCACTGCCTTTAGGCCTGCCTCTGCCTCGAACTCTTCCTCGTCCTCGACCACTGTTGCTGCTGCTATTTTGGCCTGCTATTATCTCCTGAACCCATCCAAAAAAACAACATTGCGTAAGTACTGATCCTTTTGTAAGGAATAATTTGAGGTACACAAAGTGAAGTCCCCTGTATATTTGGGGGGTTGTGCATAAACCTCCCCCACGCACTCGCCCAACACACGCACACATGCGCGCTCGCACACGCAAAACATAATAAAATTTTCAAAATTGCACTTGACCCTAAACTTTTTGAAATTTTACGTAAATGATATTAGCAAAGCACATGGTAACTTAAAGTAAAAGCTGCCAATCATGGTGCTTAAATGAGACAAGTGCAAGGGTTTCTTCTATAACACAAGAAATTGCTTACAGTTTTGCTTCTTTTCAAGTCCCCATCACTGTTGTTGCCCCCGTCAGCAGCAGCTTTTCTAGAGGCAAATACACCATTTCAGTTGAATTAGTGATGAGTCAGTAAAAGTAGCAGCTTCATGTATAAGTTTCAAATCTAACCTTCGCTTGGAAGATTTATCGTCACCACCTGCATCTGAACCTCCTAGATCTGGCACTTTGCTGACTATGTCCTTGAGAAAATCGAAGACATTGAAACTATGGACACACTGCTTTCTGAACTCAAAAGAAAAAGTGAAATACATCAAAATCCACACCAAAACTAATAACCGAATCATATGGTGCATGATTAATGAGCATGGCCTGAAGGTACACAAGGTCGCCTAAATTAATAATAAAAAAATATACAGCACAAAAAATTTCTAGCAAGGAACAAATCATCAGTCGATCTCTACAGTCACCAGCAATTAAGGATGCTGGGTGAATTATGTCCTACATAAATGGTTCTAACTTTAATACATAGAGTCTATAGGCCTTTAACTTCCAAAATTAATCAAAGCCCAAAGGTACATTAAATTTTTTGGCTTATTATACCTTTAAGAGTACAGATCCACTTCCAACTACAATGTCAACAACCAAACCATTAATTAAATGAACCACTTTCTTGCATAAGTCTGCTTTCTTATAACAGGAGACAGTCAACGACTCAACGATATATGTTAACTTAAGCCAGTGCCATGACCATATTCTCAAGTAGGTTTGCTAATTTAATTTTTTATTTTAAGAATTTAAATTGTTTATTGCTTTCTAACACTGTCTTTATAGTAGATGGTAATAAATCAAATAATCATTATTAACCCTCGACAAAGACGAAGGTACGTGCATGCACTCTTGGGGATATTTGGCAAATAAGATCATATATTAGCTAGTAGACAGCAAGTAACTCATTAGATGGCATGCGATCACATGTCAAAAATATTTAGGAGGCAAATGGATCACCTTTTGGCTCAAAAGTTAAAAGATTGAGAATATTACATACCTTTTGATAACAGCTAATTACTTTGTTGATTACTTTACTAAAATTTGGTTGTTTCATGCATGAATAGATAAAAAATGCATTTGTGTGAATTAATATACATATAATTGGACGAAATATACGTATATAGTTGTGTCCTCGTGTGTTGATTTTGAACAATCTCATCTTTGACACCCCATGTCAACGTCAAAGCAGGAAACTAGTGCCAGTATCTACTAACCAAGTTCATAATTCTGCACATGTATACAAGTCATCTACCCGGGATAAAAAATTATGATATCACTAATTTAGAGGGGTGAAAGAATATAACACTGAAGAAAACAAACAACCTTCTTCTGAAGGGAGGTAAAACTGCAGAAAAGAAACAAGGTATCTTCCAAAAAAAAATACTACTTTGGATTCATGTCAACATGATTTATCTTACTTACAGATGCAAAGAGCCCATTGTCTTCACCCCTTTCTGAAGAGTAATGTCATATGTCCTGTCACAAAGGTCTTGCAGAAACAATTCCAAGGCTTTAGCTGCAAAATCATTCAGTAAAGGGACAAATAAATCTTCATAAGTAATATTAATAACCATTCCCTAACTATAGAAGATGCATGCAATTGATATGCAGAAGATAAAAAACAGAAGTAATGACGCTACTCTTTCGAAGAAACAAAGTCACAGTATCCTATTTGCATACAGAAATCCAAACCACGTATCTGAATACAATTTAGTCAAATAGATAGCAGAATAAGAATCCCTGTTTGACTCCTTGGATTTAGTTATGCCATGAAGCTGAATGTAGTTCATCGGCATCAGCTACCCATCAGAATGAAGACGGCTATGTAGTGAAAGGCTTCATGAAAAATATAAGGAAACAATCATAACAGGCTGTAAACCCTGACTAATGCAAAATTGCTGTCCAAGGAAAACAATGGACAGACAAGGGTTTGCCTTATACTAAAAGTATCATTTGATGGTAAGAAAACCAATTAAAAATATTGAATGTTTTTCCTTGTAGAGAATCTATATTTTGCTTCTTCTACAATCTTGCAAGTACAGGAGAATTTGGAATTGCTCCAATGCGGCAACTATTGTTCTAAGATTCAATGAAAGAAACTTGTTTATTCATAAGTTTGCCGTGCCAAGAATTTTGCACAGGTTTTAGAGGGTTGCTGAGAAGTGCAGCCAATAGTAAAAATTTTCGCAATAGTCTGCTGCTCAATACTCGGTCCTTGATAGGAAAAGGCGATGGTGGTAATGATGGTCACATGAGAATGAATAAGTGTGCCATTGTTGCATGAAATTAATCAATGTGTACATGTCCAAAACGATAGGTGTCGAATAGTTAATGATGCAAAATTAGCAGTTTGAATCAGTTAATGATTTCTCATTTTCATAGACTCAACATCTATGAAATGTTTGAGTCTGATATTTCTTAAGCACTTTCTGCACGTGCAAAACAATGTCTGGGAAACCCATCGAAGCAGAGATCTTCATTTCAAGAATAAGGTAACTATTTAGGTGAGTACAACTACAATATGATTATCTTAGTTAGACACAATTGACTGCAGCAAAGATTGGAAGGACTTACACACTAATACAGGAGTTGCCATTGCTATCTTTCCCACATCTTCATCTGCTTGCATTATCTTTTTTATTCGAGACTGCTAGAAGATAGAATGTATCAGATAATATGTTCCATATGAAAAAAAAAGTCAAATCACAAAAGAAAAGGTTTTGATAAGATAGAATTAAATGACAAACTAACACCCTAAAACTTAGCCAGAAATGAGAGAAAAACTACCGGAAAAAATCTGCATCCACTAGCCAGTCAAATTATAATGAAATACAAATTATAAAATACACCAACTTCGAGATGACGTATCACGTTACGACTTTGTGATAAAACTACACCTACTAGGAACCTAGCTTAATATACATAAGCATATGCATGCAGCTACACCTGAAACATACCTAAATAGGAAAAAGATTCAACAGTTTTTCCTTGCAAATGGAGTATAATTAGGCGAAAATACCACAATAATTAAAAGCAGCAGAAACAAAGCAGTCTATTCCAAACCAAATCCTATGGCTATCATTCAACCTACTAATGGAGACCACCAACTTCTAGTTACCACACAAAAAAAAAAAAGAAAAAAAAAAGAAAAGAAAAGGTGGTGGTATAGCCCAAGTAAAAGCCATGTCCTTTTCAGAAATAAGGATGAACCCACTTGAATTAGACTTCACTTCCTGTCACTATATACTATTAGGCAGTCCAACATTAGGTAAACAATAATGTTGTAAAAAAGTAGTCATATTGTTAAAAAAACCAGAATAACGATGAACCCACTTGAATTAGAGTGGATGTACCCTCAGTTAATGTCAGCACAAACAAAAATTGTGCCTTTATTACAGGAAGCTCAGCCTTCTAGGACTCCACAGATCCAATTTTAGAAAGAACAGATCTATAAACTGCACGATAAATGTGTAAGGCCTCGGCTGAACTGAATTCGGATTACATGGGAAATTTTGCAGTTCTCTACTGAGACCTGCTCATAAGTTGAATACAGCCTATATCTAATATGACAAAACCCTAAGACCCTGATCCTACTTCCCAAGCTCACAAACTCTCAGCACTCGGTTATTGTAACACCTGATAAGGCTTCTTCTTCTTCTTCTTGGGTTCTATGAAGTAAATTCTTGAGTTTCGGCACTCTGTAGCTGATGTTACTTCTCACTTTCGAGTCCATGACTACAAACAGAAGCAACAAGCAACTTGGCTTCCTGCTACGTTTGCTCCTTGTACGGCTAGTTTTTGCTGCCAAACATTTGATGCATGATAGTACTACATAAAAAGTTTCAATTAAGTTCACAAACTAATTGTGATTGTTCTGATTGAAGATCTGCTTTTTGTGTTTACCTGCTTTGGGACACATCTCATGTATGCGTGCTTATGTGAAAAATCCATTCAATGTAATTTTGCATAATTCATAAATTTGGCGTATAAAATTGTTTGTGTTATGCCTTGCCTGACTGAATGCGTAAAACACATTTTTACAGTATTGCCTGAATAAAATGGAAAGTCCTAGAAACTACTTACAAGTTGATGTCATTTACAATATCATCAAAATGTGTTACCACGACCCAAATTAAATTGAAAGCTAGTGACAGGAAGTGCCATTGGAAGTGGTATATGGTTTTTTGTCTCGAAGGATTCCATGAGAACAGAGAGATCCTTTATATCTCAATACATTGGTCTCTTGTGTAAGAGAAATATCATTCCATATTTTTTTTTCAGTTAAGGAAGGTCTAGCTCTTAGCGTGTTACTGGCGTTAAACTTAAGATGCAATTGATAATAAATATGGTAATTATTTATGTTCGATTGACTAAGTGTCCTTTCTATGGCAACAAATCAGCCCAGCGGTCTAGTGGATATTCAGTTGAAAACGACATAGTCCCGTGTCCAGCAACAACTACAGTGGAACTCTCGTCTTTCTCCCCAATTACATATCATTTTCATTCTATCACACTTTCTTTAACGATCCAACTTAAAAGTTCAAATTGCTTTTAAATATTGTGTAATATAATCACTGAGAAAATAATATGCAACAATGAGGTCTTGATTCCTAATTCTTAGCTAACAGTACAAGTGAGCTACATATTCTTCATTTGGCAATAATAGTAACTTTCGTATTTGGTACAAATTTAAATTTTCATAAAGCACCCCAACAACTATGATAGTGAATCCCGTTGCTTCAAGAACTCGAATGGGAATCTATCTTAGCCAAAAACCCTTACCCCACTTTGCAAACCTCACATCAATAACCTAACCAACGTAAGGTGCTTGCTTCTACCAAAACGAGTAACTAGATGGAACATAAATATATTAACAGTAGCAGCAAAAAAGAGTATATGCGTTTAAACCGAATAAGCGCCTGTAGAGATTATAATATAAATTATTGTGTCAAAAAATATAAAAGAGGGCTTGAAAATTATCATGTTCAACCCCCTAAACTCAAAAACCCAAAACCTAATCAAAACAAAACAATACCCAGATACTAAAATCTCATAAAGAACAAAACCCATTTGCCAAAATCAACTAAAAAGGCAAAAAAGATCAAACTTGAACCCAAAGATAGAGATATTACAGCGGGAAAGCGAGTATCGAGCTTCTTCCTCATAGGTCAAAGCCTTTTCTTCTACGTCTGATGCAGTCGCGAGAGAGAGAGAGAGAGAGAGATCAAATACTTTTTTTTTTTAAATAAAGAAAATAATACTTCTCGGTTGAAAGAAGAGAAGCGAGAAAAGAACCGACTTTTGTTGGATTTTGGATTTTCGTCGCCGGGACCGCTTCAGTTTCATTTCCCTGTTCGGTTATAAACAGCAAACAGGATATTTAGCATATACTGATAGTTAGATGGCGAGGTTTGATTTGAGTTAACGGTCAAGATGGACCGGATAAAATGTTTTGTGTTTAAAAGAAACAGCGAAATGTTCGGTCACCAAGGCATTTCCAACTCCACGTGGATTCTCTTGGCGGCATCCCCTGGAAAAAATTCTAGGTTTTGTGCGGTCGTGAATCGGGTAAGCGGGTTGGGTTTATTTGCGGTTTGATTTTGGATCCAACAGGATTGGCGGTTGTTCTCGTGCAACTTTTTGCAATTTGCGGCCCTTTGGAAGTTGCTGTGGAAGTTTTGTGAATCGACCAGGTTTGGCGATTTTTTTTTATGGAAGTTGCTCTTCCCTCCTTTAGACTCTCAATAAAATTCTTAAACAGAGCTAAAAAGTTAACCATCTAATCAGAATAGAGAGATTATGTAATTGTCCGACCCTTTGGAACATGCTAGTTGAGATGCACGTGCAATGCAGGTTATTGAATATCATGATTATTTAAACTGATAAAAATAGAATAAAAAAAAAAGAAAACAAAGTTTTTTGTGGAATTGATCAACTCAATAATCTCTCTTTCAAATGAAATATTGTCATTGTTTTTTTCGACCAAGACTGTGGCCACGTGATCTACTATTTATGAGTTATAAACACATTAATCTAGTACAACATCTCTGTTTTTTAGTATCTTGAAGTCTTCAAAAGATGGATGGTCATTCAATTCGCAAATGAATTTTGCATATGAATTTACGTACAATATGTCTATTAAACTTTTAGTTGTGGTTAGGCTCATATTCACATTAACTTTTAGTTATGGTTTCACTCACATTTACATTATCTAATATTCTCATTCAATTTTTATAGCTCATTCTTCATATCATAGAAGTATAACTGATAGTACGAAGAATTATTTTCTTGCGAAATTAGAGCAGGGAGATTATGATATATTTTGCCATGTACTCTAAATATTAAAAAAAATTCTTTGATGCAAGGTCCCTATCAAATCTTGCCCCAAACGATGTGAATGAAAAATGCTATTGTAACTCACTTGCCTAGGGCAATTGTTATTGTATATAGGACTTATATTCATCTGGAATATCCATATCTGCTAAGTGGATTTTACTGTTGTGAGAGTAAAATGTTAGAGACTCGTATTCAAACTTTTTGACTCTATAGAAAACACACGAATTTGGATTGCATAGCTTATATATCATAAAGAACATACTGGTTCATGAAGAATTTTCCCTAATAACGATATTATTACAACGATATTACTATTTAGTATTAAATCAATTTTATTAGATAAAATTATATGACCCTTTTAATAAATTATAAAGTATATATATGGAAACCTCGATGCTTATAGCCAGTAGTTGGGCTCCACAAAATAGATTAACTTTACATTGTAGCTTGCTATTGGTAGTAATGTTGGCAATGCCATTACCTTTCCCCTTTATCTTATTATTCATGCTTTTCTGATCTAAGTTCTCTTTTTCTAATCACTCAATTGGCTATATTTAGTTTTTATAATAGCAAATGTTAGAATATTCTCTTCTGTTAAAAAAGCGTTGACATGATTTTCTTAAAAAATATATACACATAGTAGTAATAGTAAAACATTGGCTTGAAGCCTTTTAGAGTGAGGTTCTTTCTATGCTAAAATGGTGATGTAGTGATTACACAATTCAAAAGTCAAAGAAGAAATTTCTACAAAGTAAAAATAATTTAATATGTCAAATTTATAACTAATTTATACAATATACATGAGCAGTGCAGATAGCTATAGAAAGTAAGATATATATTTTTATGAAAACTCCGTAGTGACTAACTAACTATAATCATCCCAATTTAAGCAGAAATAATTATTATTTTAGTTACTAATTTGATACGCATGACTATAAAATAAATCTCAAGTAAAAAATAGGAATTAAGATTGTATTATCCTGTAGGTAAATAAATGTTATTAGAGCTCATCTTTATATTAAATTTGAAAGTAATAATTTAAATTATTAAGCGCCAAATATTAGTTCATGTGAGAAAGTAAAGTAAAATATGGCCTGTATACATATATACTCAATCAATCAAACGTATTAAAACTATGATTACTACAATCAAAATTATATTGTGAGTTCGCATTAAATATAATTTATAGAAAATAGTACACTAAAGTCAAAATCATTTTAACCACTATATAGATTCTCTAATTTTTTTTGCATATATAAACTATATTGTCCAGAAATAGTGATGTGTGCACTTAACTATGACCTAATATTC